CATTGCACAAGCAGGTTCACCTAATATCCCAGACTGACGCTGGAAAATAGCTTACTTTTTGGAATATATTGGGCTCTTTGAACCTGAGGGAGGAATGATGCTCCCTAGATCAGGCACTGCCTTATTTAATAAAGCAGAGGTAGAAGAAAAATAAAATGGTAGTGCTTAAAACATTTCCCTGCTCCCAGTTCCAACTGGTATTGACAATTCTTTCCTTCCAGCTTCAAGACCCCAAGAAGTTGAGTTGTAGATGGAAACGTTCTGGAAGACTTCAGGTTATTAGAGGTAGCACAGAATGGAACTGGTCACAGACATTAGGTTTTTAAGAATCTGAGCTGTGATATAAGTTCCTAAATTTTGTGATGAAGGAAGGATTGCAAATGTTTTATTTAGCAAAGCTTGGTAGAACTAGGTGTCCTTTGAAGAATGAAGTCTGAGAGTTTGATTTGCTTAGATTTGGCTTAGCATGTTGTGTGAATTCAAACTATTGCAAAGTATTCAATAAAGCAAGGTTAGTTACATTATGACTTGTCCCAACCGCTTGTCTCAGATGTCAGAAGGGAGGCAAGCTGGACATTTACATTTTCCTGATCAAAAAAACCTTGTGGTTTTTCTCATACAGTTGTGTTTGTGTGCATGTGGGCTTGTATGTGATTCAAGACAGAGTTGCTAAATAAAGTGTTGAAAGATATAGTAAATCCCCTTATTGGCAATCTCAAATGCAACTTTAAATGTCAAACACAATTTCATTTCTTAGCTCAACCACGAGAGTTCATTTGATTAAGAAAGTTGTGATAAAAGAGAAAAATGCCTTTACGCGTTTGTTTCCCCAGTAACTTTTATTATCAAATTAAGTACCTTTTCCATAAAACTGATTTCGGTGAATACTGGTCAGTAAGAGACAGGGATAGCTTTGACTTCACTTTCTCTAATAAATTTCCCTTGGACCAAATGGTGCTCCACACACACACACACACAAAAACCACCCAGAGTGCTAACCCCGTTTCTTGCATGCTCAAATTCCTCTCAATGGAGTGGGGTTATTAGACTTCATGGTTGTCTCAGAAATTTCCCCCTGCTGAAGTTGGGGTGGGTAGGGGGCTTTTAAAAAGGCTTTGCAACCTCTTTGAAACAGCAAGGGGAAGTTTTTGCCTGCTTAAAGGAGCACCAGTTGGGACCTCATCCCACGCTAGATACCCTCTTCACCTGCCCTGTTAAAGTTCTTCCTTCTCATTGTTCGACTTCTTTTGGAAGGAAGACAGGATGTTTAAGCGCTTTGAGAGTTCCTCTTTCTTCCCATCGCTCATCTTGGTCTCATCTATCAGCTTGGTGATCCGGGAGATCTCGTTGGGGATGAACTGGTCCCCCTGGGCAAGGATTTTGCCCATGATTTTGATGTATTGCTCAGCAGATTTGCGTTCGCTCTCTTTGGCCTTGGCCAAATGCTCTCGGCCCTCTTCCAGGAGAGCTTGGCGATGCTCAGGTTCTTGGGCGGCACTTACAAATTTGCTGGCCAAGGCATCGAATATTTTCAGGCAACCTGGCATTCCCATGTAGATCCCTCGGAGTTTCAGCCAACGCTGGAGAGCGCTGGCCTTAACCTGCCCATCGTAAGGCAAGGGGTTCTCCAGGTCACCGTCTTGGAACAAGTAGAAGACTGGATAGGAGTCTTTATCCAGTTTGTATTTTTCCCCCAACTCCACATTCTGCTTGTCACCATAATCTGTAAAAAAAAGCCATATAAATTCAGGTAGGAGACTTGGATTGGGAGAATAACAAGTTAGTGGGTTTGCTGGTCATTGTTCACCTCAGATGTGATTAACCAGGAGTCACTTTATCGGAGAAAGGGGTAGCATATAAATTTAATAAATCAATCAATAAATAAGAGTGCTTAAGTGACTTTCACAAGTCCAAACTGAAGAAATTTCTAAACGGAAATGTTAAGTTCTGTTTGAGTGGGTTGATTAAACTATTACCTAACTTTCTTCATATAAAGAAACATTCAATCATTTGAAGGATGAAAATATGCAGCTGGTAGAACCCCAAAATTTTAAAGCCTTGAGGTCTAGCAGCTTGTTCCTTGCAAAGCACATCCTAGCTAAAGCACAAGACCAAAAAGTGCAGCCCTGCAAGAGAATTCAAACTCTTTGTGCTATTATTTTGACTGTCCTGGGGTGGAAAGAAACAGCAGGTGTCCTTTTAAAAGAGGGACCGGGGGGGGGGGGGAATTTCCCTTTCTAAAATGGTAACAGAGAGAGGCCCATTTTAGAAATGAAGATCGAAAGTTGAACTTTTGGAAACTCTTGTGTTTCCACCGAGATGACCCAGGTCTCATTATGGGCCAGGAGGAAAAACGGTGTTAGATCTGTGAGGGTATTTGCAACCCTGCACCCAAAACCTTGTAATGGCTGAAGGCTCAGTGGTTAGAGCCGATACAGAGGCTACATCTGGAAAGTACAGACTGAGCACATGACAATTAAGTAAATCCAGAGAGTTTTGTTTATGAGAGACAGTATGGTCTAGTGGCTACGGCACCAGGCTAAAAAGCGGGAAATTGTAAGTTCTAGTGCTGCCTTAGCCATGAAAGGCAGCTGGGTGACCTTAAGCCAGTCCCCCCCCCCTTTCAGCCCAGCCCACCTCACAGGGTTGTCGTTGTGCGGAATATGAGGAGGAGGAAAGTATGTTGGACATGTTTGCCACCTTGACTTATATCTCAAAATAATAAAAGCGAGATACAAATATATATATATAAATCCTGCCTTTATTATTTTGATAAATAACTCAAGACAGCTAACATACCCAGTACAATACCAAAATACAGCATGAATCTTATTTCTTAAAATTGCACGACCATTTTAAGAAATAAATAGATCTTCCTCATCATCTCAAAACCAACCTCTGGACCTCAGGTAGGGACCACCTAGACAGAGCCCCATCTCACCTGAGATCCCCACCTCAGCCACCAGCAGGTCACTGCTGGACTCTGAACTCTCAGCCACCTTTTTGAACTCATCCTGCTTCTCCCCGTAAGGGTACTGGGTGTCGAATTTCACCAGGACGTACTTGTGCTTTGGGATCACCTGTGGAAAGAGCAACACAAGCAAGGCTTTGAGGAAATGGCTTAGCCTGTGAAAACCCACAAGGATTGTCCCGTACAGTGTTTTCTCCATCACTTTTTCTAGCAATGAGTTGAAAACCTGTTATGTTCCCTGGTATTTCAAGCCATTTTTCTTGGGTCCTCCTAGACCCACACATTGCAGCAAATTATGTTTTTTTTTTTTCAAGCAGGGTTTCCTGAATAAACCACAACTGGGAGGGAAACACACCACACATCAAGCCACTGAGCTGATCGACAGACTGAAGGGCAGGGGGGCTCTGAGAGGCCAAAGAGCTGGAGGTCCATAGAGGCCAGAAGGGCCAAACAAGCAAACCCCAGAGGTGAGCGCTGGGCTTGAGGAGCAGGGTCTGAGGGGCTGGAGCCCCCCTGCAGAAGGACCAGCTGGAAGAGGAGGTGCTTACTAAGGCCCCTCCCTGCCTAAACGCTCATGATCACCCTGCAGAATCTGCCACAATGGATCCCTTCCAAGAATGGAGAACAGGTTATTCTGCAGCGTCTCCAGGAAGGAGTTGCTTTGATGCCTCACTGCCTCATTCTAGGCTTGGGGAAACCGAGGCAGCACCCAGGTGGGGCTGCCTGCGGCCTTCCGGCCATGGTTCCCACGCCTCCCTGGCGACCGACTACCTCCCCAGATCCAGAGCACAAAGAGCCGAGATGGGCAGCATGTCATTTTGATAATAACAAAGGCAAAGCCTTGCAGCCCTTCCTGAGTAAAAGGTGCGGGGAGGAGAGCCTGGGATTCCCATCATCCCGAAAGCCTCGCTGGGCTCCCCCTTCCCGCACTTGCTTAGAAGGGAAAAATGCACTTTGCGCGGGATCAGAGGCACGGCTGCCCTGCTCTAAAAGCACGGCGGTCCCAGGGAAGAGGAGGTCCGTATCGCCCTTGCCGTCCACTTGGCCTCCCCGGATTGGCGAGTCGTGGGAATCGCCCCGCTGTCTCCCCGCCCTCTCGGGCTTTCCGGGGAGGAGCGCTGGGGAAGGGGAACTGAGAGGGGCGCGCTTTCGGCTCCCCAGACGCCTCCTTCTGCCAGGCCACCCCGGCGCGGCCTGCTTCCACTCTACGGGCGAAGGCGCCAGGCCCGGGATGCGCCCCGCCAGCCGCTTCGCTCTGCGGCAGCGCTAGCCCCGTCTGGACCCCGGGGCGGGGCGCGGGCTTACCTTATAGAAGGTGACGGCGTCCAGCGGGAGCGCGCCCTTGGTGTGCAGCGCGCCGCACCTCTCGGGGGCCGCGCAGAGCAGGAGCAGCAGGAGGAGGCAGGAGCAGCAGCAGCAGGCGCGGCGCCCGGGACTCGCCATGGCGACCAAGTGGCTGCTGGGCGAGCGGGCGACGAACTTCCCCGGCGGGGGCGGGGCTTGCGGGGGCGGTTCCGCTGCACTCACCGGCGCCCCCCGCAGGCCAAGCCGGGGAGAGCCAGCCGGGTTCCCCCCCCCCACGCTTCTCCCCGCCCTGCTCCGACCTCTGGCTGGTGGGCAGCTGCCCACCCCCCCCAGGCCATAAAGGCTGCAGTTTTAGAAACGCCGGGCTGCCTAACAGCATCTCCCCGGGGCTGCTCTTTCTCCTCTCCTGGCTTTTGAGATTTCTCTAGGCAGCTTTGCAAATGTCAGTTTAAATGGTGCAAGCGCTGAACCCCACAACCCTTCTAATGCTGCCTTTACGCTGCAGAAAAAGGGCCTTAAAATGCACCAAGCCAGCCGTGACTTCTGCCAGCCTGAGGCCTGTAGACCTCTCTAACCTCTGTCTGTCCCCACAACGCTTAAAAGACCCCTTAAACGGTGCAATTTTGGATCACAGCTAACTTCTTAGCATTGAAAAGCAAAGACCTCACTTCAGAGAGAGGTGAACGTTTCCCAACTTGAAAGAAACAAAAAGGCACAGAAAAAGTTGGTTATAAAGAAACCGAGTTTTTTTTATAAATTATAAACCCATTCAGTTTACAGCAGATTGTTAGCAGTTTTATCCTTTTAAATTTCTGTTGGTGGTTGAGGTGTTTAACATAGTCACAAATTAAAAACAGCAAAGCAAAGCAAAGAAGCTCCACAGTGTTAGAACAGAACAGGTAGCCAAATACCTCTCCTTTTACAGCTCAAATAAGAGGCAAAACAAACCCCATGATTCAATTATCGGAATTTCAAATATAAATTCAATTTCTAAATGTAAGAAAATGATTTAAAAAATGATAAACCCTAAACTTCCAACATTGGAAAGGAAACACAGTTGCACAGATGTTCTTCTTCCTCAAAAGGAAACTGAGTTTGCAGCCTGACAGAAAATATAACCCAAAGGTTTTCATTCCTAGAAGTTGCCTCGGAAGGACCCTGAATCAAAGGATTACTTATTCTCAAGCTTTTAGCTCTTTTTAAATACCCCCAAGTACGCTGACCCACTTCCAGAAGACTTGGACAAAATAATTATATCACAATTCAGAATTTCACATGTTTGTGCAAAAGGGAAAAAACAGCCCATCAACATGCTGGATATGCTGGCAGACAGCAATAAATCGGGCTGAACACCCCTTCGGCTGAACCAAGGCCACTGCTTCAATGTCTGGATCCTGGCTAACGAGAAAGTAACCCATATAGTTGGGGTTACCTTAGCTTACCTGACTCTGATGCTACCTGGTTATCTTCCCGGCCGTAAAGTCTTACGTTCACGAGACTTCCTTTCAATCTGGCCATTGCTTAGGAAAAAAACAGGACCACATCCTGTGGTTTTTAGTACCCACTGATTAAAAAAAAATACAATGGTAACCAATCAATTCTCTCAAGTCAACTCGGAAAACACGAGCTTAGTGATATCACAGAAAAGTGAAACCTGCTACGAATGTGCACAACGAAAGGCCAACTTGCCATCAGTAACCGCAACTGGCTACGCAGGAACGCAACCCTTTTTTCACCCAACAGCTTGAATGTCAAAATGCAGAGCACTTGAAATACTCCGTGGCTCAACAGGTATTTTGGGAGTTCTGAATGCGAAAAGGGTGGGAGGATTTGAAAGCAGTTGGAGCTTCTTGTTCTCCATTCTTGGGTCCCATCCAAAATCCACCTTATAAATACATATTCGGGAGCGCTTTGAAATTAGAAATATGAAAAAACTGCGGCTCAGCTCAACTCAGCCAGCCTGCCTCAACATGCCAACTCTGAAAGTGGAAGAAACATCAAGGCACCACCGCACAGCTTTAGACGGCAGACTATTTTCTTTAAAATAACAACAGCTCTGTTGTGGGGTTTTTTTGCCACCACTTACATTGATAACCGTTTACCTGATTCCTATGGAATTCTAGGTCCAGTCGCATTTCTAAACCAAGTTTTTCCATTTTCTTGGAAACCACTGGAGTGGCTTTAACTGACAGCGCTGTTCTGCGGCATTTACAGGGTATGGAAAAGGAGGTTTGATGCGATAACTGACGCTGGCCCTCTTTCCAACCAATTCGAACGGCTGTAAGGGAAGTTGCATACATAAAGGAGAATAAAAGACCCTGTTGTAAACCAGATCGTTCAATGGTCAGATTTACTTGGCTATAGCAGAAGCAGGAGAGCCCAAGAGATGCTTAGGGTGTCCACAGATGACCTCCGGCCTGGTCATTTGCTTCTGTAGGGCAAAAACGTGCACACAAAATAAACGCTGCCTTGCCTATGGGAGAGGAGAAAGTACAAATTCCTTTGAAATATGCTTTACACTGGATTCCTACTGCTGCTTCTAAAGAGTTGGAGACTCTCCACAGTTTCTGAAGAACCTCCCCTCCCCCAGAGCCAAGGGAGAGGCAATGAGTTAGGCCGGGGATCTAGAATCTGTTGTGATCTGCTTATGAACATGTATAAAAAGTGGTCTAACCCTGACCGTGGAGGGTCCCTGTGTCCATTCTTTTAATGTACAATAATTTAATCGACTTGAATATATATTTTAATACATAAAAAAAGTTTGTGATCAAAGTCCTTCATGCATTTATGAGGAAGTTCCAGATTTTAACACAGAAGGGATGGTAGATCTTGCTTATCTGATGCCAATGCTTCAGTCTGACTTTCTCCACAAGGAGGCATTTCATCAAACCTTTAGATTTTTTATTGTATCGAGTCTCTTTTTCAGCAGCTCTCCAATTTCTTGAACCGCGTGCTGGTAACTACTCTGGACTTTCCCTAGCGCAGTCTTTGTAAACTTCTTTTCTTCCTGCATAAGAGAAGAGGGCGTGCACACAAGATAATCAAAACCAACCAGACCGACTCTTGAAATATTCCCATAAAAATCTCCAAATAACGATACATTTACATTACAACTGTCCTTGAATTTCTAAGAAGAGATACTGGCAAATTACAATTTTTAAAGGAAAAAAACAGCTTAAGGATGCACAGTATTGGACCAGCCAAAGTATTTGAGCTAGCCATCTGCCAGGAACTTCAGACTGGCAAACCAGCTGTGAGGTTTTCCACGCGCAAGAAATATTTTGAGCAAAAAGGCAGGGTTAAAAATGAACAGAAAGAGTAAGACAAATTCTGACCACAGGAGATCGGAGAGCATTCCTTTAAAAGCTACTATTTCTTACCTGCAAAAGTGAATTATTGTCTATGTACAGCTCTTCAAGTTTAAGTGCAGTTAAGTTAATTTCAAGCCCTCTGAGGTGATCTATCACGTTGGAAATGAGCGTCTGGAGTCCAGAAACATAATCTTGGAAGCTGGTGAACACAGGAGGCTACAAAGACGTGCGAGAGGGGAAGCTTTAAAAGGCCTTCCGTGGTCTGTCCTCAATTGTTTAATTTGTTACATGAACCAAATGAAGAATTTGCTCTCAACCATCAGGAATTAGAGGCCAAGCTGTGGCTTGGGGTGGGGGGTGGGGGACAGGAAGAGGAAGAAGGCAACCTGGCCTAGCATACCAGGGCTCCACTGCTGTCTTTCTTCTTCTTCTTCTTCTTCTGCAGGGTTGATTTCCAGGGCCGAAGGATGGCGTCCGAGTAACTGCAGACCCACGAGACGAGGGAGGTGGTCTGCGAGGATGAGAAGTGAGGGGGGAGGCGCTTTAGGGGTGCTGCTGCCTTTTGCAGCAAAGCAGGCTGGGTGGCTCAGATCGCCCAGACTCACCTCCACAAAGAAGACCAGGTTTTCTAAAATATTTGGATGAGTTTTGAAGTTGCCCTCTCTGACTTCCAACAAATCGCCTTTGCATTTATTGACCTGATCTTAAGAAAAGAAGGAGAGAGAGGAAGAGGGGAGAAAAAAAGTTTGTGAATCTTTGAGTTTTTTGCAAAGCCACACAGATACCCATCTGCCCTCTTTGCAGCCATACAGACTCTGCTCCCTTTGGCTGAATTATGGAAGATATAACGGATATTCCTCCCGGAAATAGACAAAGCTGTAATGATCCATCCTCTCCATGATGCTGATTCTCAGAGCCTGATGCTCCGAAGTAGAGCACTTCCTTCCCGTCTGTAAAATGGCCACATTCCTGTAACCCATAAAGGGTCAAGCTCTTTCTGACTTCTCCTTTTTCTCACTCAGCATCTTTGTTACTTTCCTCTCCAACTCTTGCAGGAAGCAAAACCAACATGCCAGAAGTGCGAACTACTTGCTTAAAGAAAATAGGCTAAGAAGGCCGGGGCAATTAAAACGTAACTGAAAGAAAAATACCTGAATAACTAATTCATATGGCCTTTCAAGGCTTTCCCTCAAATCTATGCAGTACTGGTGACTTAAGATGTCTTTCCTATGAATGCTGCATACTTTCATAACGTTGGCCTAAGTGAATAATTGGGGCCTGCCTTGTATTTACACACTGTGGGTAAAAATAATCTTTAGCAGTTCTGCAGAGGTGGTCTGTGAAAGCTGGCTCTTTTAGGAAAGGGGAAGGTTTGTCAGGCCTGAAGCAGGTCAGAATTCTTGGGGACTTATTTGCATACCTGTTAGTTGCTCCAGTAATGATTTCAAACAATTTCCTATTCGCTCTTGAATTGCCATGGAATCTTCTGCAAATAAATAAGGGAGCCACTTGTTTATCCAATTAGAAGTGGGCTATCGTAAATACACAAATAAGGAGGGGGGGGGGTGAGAAGAAGCAAAAGGAAAAAGCAACAGTGGCACAACTCAGATATGAAAGTTGTGGACCTCAACGCCCAGAATTCCCCAGCCAGCAAGGTTAAAGTTGCCAAGGTTGGACACTCCTGGACTTATCCCCGTTTCCCGCGCTCTCCCTTCAGCCCCAAATTGAAGGAAGTCGGAGGGCTTACCTAAGCCATTGGTATCTAATTCATAAATTTCACTAACTAGGTAAAACAAGCTGGTTTGGGACTGGCAGCTCCCACTGTCAAAGAAGCTGGCCATCCGTGAAGAAGGAGGCCCGAGGGCCGGATACTGTGGAAGGAGGAGAAACACAGCCTATCACATAATTTCCAAGGAAAAAAGACATTATTTGAGATCTAACCCAAGCTGCTTTCCAAGAGCCCCGTTTACTATTGTAACCGTCTATTTAAAAAAATAGCATTCTTTCCCTGACCTGTACCTGAATATTTTTCTGTAGGAACCACTTCCCCGACCTCACTGCATCGTCCAGCTGCCGCAGGAGAGTCCGGACGGTGTCTATCTTGGAGGAGACTCCATTCTCGGTGCTTTTTTCTGAGTTCTTCGGCTGGCTGCTGTGGCTAAGAGCTGGCAGCCCACCTATTAACCGTAATGTCAGGGACCGAATCTGCAACCAGGTGGTCTCTTCCTCCAAGGAGTATTTTCTGTGCTCTTCAGAAATACTCCTGAGAGAGAAACGGAAAGAGGAAGAATTCAGGTCCAGAAACCTATACGCAAGCCGCCTATTTTGTTATCCCTGTATTCCTGAAACTTGGAAGTCTTCACGTTTGTGAAGGGATGCGTCATTCCTTCCATCCACAAAGGTACAGTAAAACCTTATTCTAACACATTTTTTGCAAGTCTGGGGGAAGGAGGGGTTGATTAAATCCAAGTGGATGTAATGTATACCCATCTGCACACTTGTGTTTGTATGTTATTTCTTTTGGGTCATTATGCAAATGATACAGACCACAGGGTTTATCTGGAAACCCCCAAATAGGTTCCTAGCTTGGGGTGAAAACTGAAGTAAAGAATTCCTTCTAAATGGTGCTTATACTTCACTGCATCTATTATAATTCGGGATGATCTATTTATTTCAGATGGCTGTATAAATGCCCAGTGTAAAACCTACACTGTCCCTGGATATATTCCCGTTTCCCTTCAGATCATATAAAGCTTCTACTGTGCATCATAACCTTTGGGGCTTACTTGTCTTTCGGGTCCCAATTAAATAAGACGGTGAGGTCTCTATTATCCCGCAGGTCCTTCCAGGGAATGTCGTCCTCTTCCGGACTTAGGCTCATGGATTTAATACTTTCTTCCAAACTTGTTGATCTGGTTCATGAGGAACCAAACAGAAATGCTGGGTTAGGCACTCAAAAGTGTTTGCTGATATTTGCTTAAGGTTTTTTTTTCTCTTTTCAATAGGGCCATCGGAGGTCTCCCGACTGCAAGGGAAAACACGCCAGGTGACGGATTGTGTTTTCATCCAAAGCTCCTCTCTCTATGAAAATAAGCCAAACAGGCCCAGATATTTCAAGAGTTGCTAGGATCTGTCCTTTATTTTTACACAGTATCGCTGCTACTCAAACCCTGATCAACTTCGCTGCCTTTCCAGGAAAAGCCCTCACAGGGTTACAGACATTTCTCTGGACTCACATATTGGCTTCCAGGAGAAGATCCAGCAACATTCGTTCCGTGCGGACTTGTGCAAAATGAAGTGAGGAGTTCAGCCTGTTCCTGAAAGCGATGAATTCTGGGATCTTCTCAAATGCCCCGTATTTATAGGCCTGAATGATGTATTCTGAGGTCTGCAAAGAAAACACAGAAGGCTTGAGACAGTCAAGAGAGACGGACTCCTGTGTAATGCTTGCCTGGTGGGAGTCCCAAAAGATGCTCCAGAGGCATGTTCCAATCCTGAGGGGCCCCAGCCCTTGTGCAGCCGTCACTCTTGAGACTTGCACAAACTTTTGTGAGCGTGGTTTTAGGGAGGAGGAAGCAGGAAGTGGAACCTCAGTGAGGAAGTAGGACCAAGTGCTTCAAGGTTTAGAAATTATTTCTTTACTCGAGCTGATTATTGACCAAAGCACAAGTCCATCCATCCTTGCCTCCCTTCTGCCTCTCCTACCAGACTGTGGGTATCACCGTGAGGCCAGGCAAAGGGAGAGGAACGGCAGGAAGGGCTGGCTCTGCTTCAGAGGACTTTGCACATGCTCTCTCAAGGGGAGAAACTGATTCTTCCTCCTGTTCCCACACTTACATCTTTCTGGTTGGAGTGGAAAAACCTGAGTGCAAAGTTGCAAGATTGGGACGCAGCAGCATAATGGCCAAAAGCTGTGGCATAGCGGGTCAGCAGGTATCTGTAATGCAGAACGCACAAACCAACAAATAAACTAACAATACTCACAAACCATGAAAGCTGGCTCAGTTTTCCCAGCTGTTAGACCACTGTTTAAAGTCCTTCCCTCAAAGGGGCACAGCGGCACCTCTCCTCGCCCAAAGACCCCCCACAGGACCCTTTCCCAACCTCTGGCGAATGGAGGAGAGACCAGGCAGAGGACCACCTTCCCTGCCCAAGACAGCAGCTCCACGAAGCCCCTGGCCCAGGAGAGAGCCGAGTCACCCACCCGATGGTATCGTGCTGTATGTGCTTGGCATCGAGGCTGGAGTACAGCTCCACCACTGGCTCGAAGGCCCCCAGCATGCAGTAGATTCGGATGAGCAGCAACTTGAACTGGGCATTGGAAGGGCTGCAGGTCAACCCTTCCTCTAGCAGAGTCAAGCACTGCCAGACGGCTGGTCCCTCGCCTGGAGGGGGGAGAGGGCAAAAACAGTTCTCAAACTGTGAGCAAGGCACAGGAAGTACGTGAAGCCCACTTGTCCGTGAGATTAATTTGTTTAGTTCTTCTTTAAAGCTGCATTGTATTCATAACGGGGGAAGAAATTCCAAGATTCAATGTGTAAAGAACACTTTTATTATGTCCCCAAACTCCAATTCTTCAGCTGCTTTAGCAGATTTCAGATTCAATCTAATTGTCAACGCTGTGACAATGGATGTTCCTGCTCTGACAACTGAGGGAAACTGCAGCCATTTCCACTCCCCGAACAGCTTGCTTTTTCTGCTGTTTAGAAATCAGATGTAGAAGGGTGGGGTGGGGTGAATGCTTGAGCTCAACTAGCCATAACAATAATGCAGCTTCATGGGAACTCAAGGATTCCAATAATGTTTTGGCTGGCTGAGGAGCTGGAGAGGGAGCTTCAGCCTAATTGGAGAATGTGATTTATGACTGCTTCATGGGGGTGGGAATTGCAACTTGTTACTTTGTATCTGGGGGAAGGGAATCTAGTTTTGGGTTCAACTATGTAGTGCCCACAAAAATGTTCTTTAAGGAAGAATTCTTGCCTTGAAGTTCTTTAATGGGTTTCATCTATCGGAACCACAACACTAGTCTTACCTGAAGAACAGAACGCTTTCTCTCCAATTTTTCCATGCCCCACATAACTGTATAAATCTCTGAGCCTCACCCACTAACCTTTATTGTCATTAATAAACTAAGCAGGTTATAATCTTTCCTTCCAGGGGATTGTGTCAATCTCAAAGTCATTTCTGATCACAGACAGCTGAACAAGAACATACCTGCCTCCAGCCAGATGTCAAGGAGCAAATGAACAGCAAGCAGGCAGTAGTAATCTGAAAGATGTAACTCTGTTTTCAAACAGGATTTTCCTGGGGAATAAAAACAAAGTTTCAAAATAGAACATTTTATGCCTTCAAACGTGAGCTAGCTCAATGAAAAAGCTATTTAACATTCCTTACAGGTTTACTTAAAATGCTAAATTTCCAATTCTCCAAAATCAAAATGTAACAGTGACCAGATTTAACCAGCTGGGCTAAACAACTTGCAAGTTGGTCAATCATGCTCTAGAGCAGGGGTCCTCAAACTTGGCCACTTTAAGACATGCTGGCTGGGGAATTCTGGGAGTTGAAGTCCACAAGTCTTAAAGTGGCCACGTTTGAGGACCCCTGCTCTAGAGCTCCTTGGACAAAGGCTTAAATCCAACCGCAAAGGCAGATGGCCAGGACAGAGTCCAAGAAGGGCCAAGAGGCCCGACAGTCTCCTCACCAAAATCCAATCCGTGCCGATAACGCAACATCATGTCCTGGACTGCTGCCAGTTTTTGAGCTGTGTCCATGGTGTGGAAGAGTCCAAGCAACCGTGTCAACTGCATCACACATAGGTGCTGTTGTAAAGCTTTGATATTAGCTGGGAGCGCAAGCCTGCCTTCTGGTGGGACGGAAAGGGGGATGACCCCCAACAACTGGTTGATGAACTGCAAACAAAAGGAGAGGACTCTGTTAAGTAAGACCTCTGGAGTCCAGGAGGCAGGGGGCAGGAGTGGCCAGTGAGGTTACCTTTGTGTATTGCGTTGATGGAAGAAGGTCGACAAACACCTTGAGATCCGTAAAGCAGCAAGGTTTGTCCCCAAACATCTTGAAATACTGGAACATGAGTTCTTCTGGATTGCCTAATAAATAAAGAATCAGCAGCTGAAAAGCGGCGTAGTCAGTTTTTGGATTGTAAAACTGTCTTCTAATATTCACGAGGTCTCTTGCTACAGTAAATAGCCAGGAAAGGCCTAGAAAACTGCTCAAGAGAATCTGCAGCAAAGCAGCTTCCCAGTTAATTCACCAAACTGGATAGAGAATTCTGGGACTTGAACCCCACCCATCTTAACATTGCCAAGTTTGAAGAACGCTGGTTTAGGATTTGCTTAATTAACAAACACTTCCCTTGCAAAACCAACCATCCATCTAAAAAACAAAAACAAAAATGGGAGGTGAGGAAGGACAAAGCAAGTATCTTCACAATGTGGCATTAAAAATACAGCCCAGGAACTCTCTCAGCCTGGGCCAATGATTCCCCTCCTTAAAAAATCAAGCTACAAACGAAAGGAACGATTCATAAGGGTTTTCTTCTTGTTTGAGCACTGAGGATCTGCAGAGAGATCTGAGCACACCTTGCACTGCTGCAGCTCAAGGGAGCCTCAGCATTTACACATTTATCCACCTCCAGGAAAACTGCCAAGATTTATAATAAAAGACAAATTGTCTCCCCAGTGACCGGTGGATGTCTGCAATTCTTCTGCAGAGTTTACATCAGCCGCTGCAATCCCGACACGGTCTCCCCTTGCGCCCCCACCCCCCAAGAGGCTCCTTCCGGCATCCCTGCAGCGGCTCTTACCCAATTTCTGCTCTTCAGGGTAGCCCCTGTGCCGCAAGCGGCTGATCAGCTCCAGCTGGGCCAGGTATGGACCCCGAAGTGGACGGGCACTGTTGGACTCATGGATTAGCCTCTGCTCTATGAAGGCGACGGCTTGCTCTGTGCTGTGATGCACGTCTCCTTCCAGAGAACTGAGCACAAGAAAGGCAGTGAGGTCCAGTCCCTCCATTCCATCTCTCTCTCTCTCTCTCTCTCTGCAGCCATTTGTTCAGCTCCAGGACTTGAATTGCCTTCCTCCTTTCTCTTTATAAAGATTCCGAGCCTCTCAGAGCCCTCCAAGAGAATACTCACTGCTCTCCTTCAGCTGGAGGAGTCCAAGCCATGTCAATCAGTTGAAAGAGGGAGTCAAAGTAGATCATGTAGAACTGCCAATCATCTGGGCTAAAACAGAAAAACGAGGGAAAGAAAAAAAAGCTGAAGAGCAATGGAGAACGCCTTCTCTCTTGCTGTCTCTTTTGTGAGCAGTCACAGGGTGGACCTAGCAGGGCAGGAAGTCAAGACCGTTTCCTGAAAGGAAGAGGAAAGTTCTCCCCGCTAAGGCTCCTCTGAATGTCACAAAAATAAACCATGTGGATTAATGATGCGTGCAGATTAGGGAGCCTTTGAAACGGCAACGGTAGGTTAGGGAAAGGGTTGCTGACCAGGCCCTGGATTGGGTGATGGGTCAAAGAACAAGAAAGGTTTGGCTAAGCAGTTCTATTTAATAGAAGATGGGTGCCTCTAAATGTAATAACTGAAAAGAAAAAAAAAGATTCCAAGACAAGAACAAAAAGAAAAGAGTCTTCTTGGGGGCCGTCTAATGTATTTATTGGCCAGGGGAAACATCAGGGCAACCCCCAGGATGCAAAAGGGCTGTGCAAGGGGCGGCCCAGAGGCCCTGTCTACATTTTCTTACTTTTTAAGCAGAAGTTTTCTCGAGAGAGCGTTGCATTCTGGCCATTTGCTCAGCTTCCTGTACATCTCCATGCATTTGTTTTCTCTGCTCTGGAGAGCGCTGGTTAACTTGTCTAACACACACACACACACACACAAAATGTAAATTCACATAATGAACAAGTCAATTTCAGAAACAAAATTCCCTATCATCCAGCAAAAATTAGACTGCAGGGAGCCAGGGAAAGTTTTCTGGGATTTAATTTCAAAATTGCCTTATATAACCCAAGATGCAAACTATCTGGGATGAACACACATTTGTAGATGAGGCTGTGATAAAAGCACGTAGTTTTGCAAATTGATGCAACATTAAACTGCAGACAACCCTCTGTGTAACAGATGACATCTCTTTAACAAATGCACTGGAAAATTTTACCTCCCAATTTTCCTCTCACAACATCCAGAGCTTCTTGGTATTTTTCCAAGCGTTCTAGAATCATGTAGTAAAGTTCCACCTAGTAGAAGTGGATAGCAAGAGGAAGAGAGAAGTCAAGAAGAGAGAGACTTGCCATAATTAGCTCCACTAATTTATCTTCAGTACTACCTTTTAAGAAGGGGAGATATATTTCTTGGCCCAATAAATAGTATCACAAACTGAAATCGTTTTATTGGAACTGATGAACTTAAATCGAATTGGAAAAAAAGTCTTACTTCTGCTTCAGCCTCGATTTTATCTTCTTTCACCATTTTTTCTACCATCCTTTCAGCTAGGGGTAAAAACATGGTTTTTGAGAGCTTTTCATCCTGCGCAGATATTGACTGCAAGAAAAAAACACATAGGACTGCCATATAGAGAATCAGCCCGCCGTCTGGCTAACACAGCACTCTTGGTTTCTAGTTTTTCCCTAGAGGAGCCAAAGCAAGCAAGTTTAATGTAGCCCACTCTCAACCTCATTCCGGGAACTATAACCCCCACCCCAGGCTCCCTGTAGCTCTGGAAGACACCAAGTAAAGACAGGCTGTGCCACTGCATTACAACCCGTGCTTGAAACATATATAATCTATCTCTAACGTCTACTTAGCATTTTCACATATTTTAACTGGAAAGGAAACCAATTCCAAAGACACTTTGACTCTCCTCTGAAATGTTGGACCTACCTGCATTATTAAACTCATCACGGACCAAAAATAGTATGGGTTTTTAGGGACAATCTTGTAAAGTGCCATTCCAGCCTGGAAAAGAAGCATAAATCAAGATGACAAAGGACTTCACAGAAAACGACCCGCTAGTCAAAAGCTATAACATTCTAGCCAACGGTGACCTCAAAGGAAAGTCTTTACGCTATTTCAAAGTGTTCGCTAAGAGGAAGGAAACAGAACGATGGAGGCATTCCCGGAAGCTCACTTCTGTTACATTTTGGACAACCTAGGTGGGCAGGAACTGCCCCCTCCCTTCTTCTGTCTTCTCTGGCCTGACTCTAACTGCCACTTGAGGCATTTGCTTTAAGAGGAAACAGGAAACAGCAATCAAAACTGTAACCTGAAACTTTCTAATGTCATATGAATTTCCTTCCAAAGAAGAAAGTCTGCTCAGGAGCCTCAGCAATTCCTCAGGCTAAAAGAAGTGAAATTCTGCATTTCATCGGTGATCTATGTGGAAGCCTGCCTTCCCTGGGTCTCCTTGGAAGACGGAAGGCTGCTCCTTCCCCGAGAAAGAATCAGGCAAGTACCTGCTGCATCTTCTTATATTCTCCGACTCTCGCATAAGCCATGAAGAGATGAGAGTGATATTCCTCACTGTTGGGAACTTTCTTCACGGCTGCCTCATAGAGTTTCGTGACTAGCTCCGCTGAAAGCAGATATTCTAAGCGTTAAAAGTATGCAGGTGAAGACTCAGAGCCCTTTCATTACCGACTGAACAATTCGGCACCCTTTATTTTCTCAAGACGCGTCTTCTCCTCTTTAGGATGGCACTAGCACTTGGCATCCACCCAACCACCCCCAGATAACTGTAATATATAGGCTCAGCTGGCTGTTTGAGGGATCAGGTTTAATCAAACTTTAATCCCCCAGAATGTTTTGGAGCCGTAAAATGGGAGGTGTGTGAAAATGGTTCCCTGGCCTAGAAGTTTGGCATTATATTAATATTAGGAAATCCTGCTATGATTGAGTTAAAAAAAAAAACCTCAAAAACCATTAATTCAGAAAGTGTTTCTGCTCCCCCTCTAAATTCCAACAAGAAAAAAAAGAAATATTTCCTTAATCTTCATTAAAGTAGTTAAATATCATTCTTCTGCCTTTGAATTAAGAGTTATAACTAAAATCTTGGCTAAACAGGCTGTGTGGTGGTCGTTTTTGAGAAAATCCTTTCTTCAATATATTGAAGAAGGGCTGATGAGATGCACGTGGATTGGAAGGAGAGAGAGAGAGACTTCTTTAAATTGAAAATAAAAGCCATAAAGGGGTAAGGATAGCTGGGAAACGTACGCCGATGCATTTCTCGATACAGGATAGTCAGCGCCTGCAAAGAATTGTCATCTGTGGGTTCAAGGGCTGCTACTTCTTGGGCCAAAGTAAATGCTTCATCTTGTCTCCCAGTTCTTTGCAAGCCGATTGCTTTCAAAACCTGCAAACAGATCAAAGAATATTTTAAGAGGTTTTGCAGTAGCTGTCAATAGGAAGGATAGTCATGAAAATCCCATTCCGAGAATAATCAACAAAGAAATGTTTAGTGGGTCAAACATTAAATCTCAGAAGTTGAACACCTACGTGGCAAACAATGGGTGACAGGTTGAGTCACAGGACAGATATCCAGGACAAGAGGGAGAAAGGATACAGCTTAAACTGAATGGCTGCTAGGAACTGGTAGGGGTGTCCACATGTATCCACATTATCCAAGTTGCCAAGGTTGAGAAACACTGCTCTGGTTCAGCATTGTATGTCCATCTATGAAGCAGCGGTCAGATCGCTGTCAGTTGCCCACCCTGCTCTGCCTGCCTCTAGAGAGACAGTCCTTCAAGAAGAACAAAAATCAGCCTTCTTCAACCAGTGGTCCAATCCCCAGACTATTGAATTACAGTTTCCATAATAGTTTGCTAATGCACCCAATTTGTTCCCTCATCTCAAAAGTTTGGACTGTGATTGCTGTTTTATAATTCTCTCAGCTACTATCGTTAACACATATTTAAAAGCACTGTTGCCCATCATTTTGGTAACATTTAACTACATCTTAGGATGCTGAGCCATGTTGAGTTGGACCAATAAGTTGAAGAATTACTTCAACAAACTGGAGCTTATGATCAATGTGGCAAAGGTGATCTTACCGAGCAGAGGGAAAACCAGAAGAAACAAAGGCAATATTGCAGAGGGAAAAAACTGCCACACAACGGATGTCTTCAAAGCTTAGCTTTAAAGTCGCAGTTCTTGTTGTCCAACCCAGTCCAACCCTTTCTAGGGAGGCGACAAGATGAAAAGCAGACTCTGGCCCTTGCTTGTTCAAGATTTAAGACAAAGACAATTTAACAAAATAAACTTAACTGTGAGCTCACCTTAGCACAGTGAAGATCTTTGTGTTTTTTTAGCAGCTTGTCTGCTTGCTGGATTGCCATTTTATTATTGCCATTATCAAGATAATCTAAAGAAAAGGAGAGAGAGAGAGAGAGAGAGAGAGAGAGAGAGAGAGAGAGAAATTATTACAAACTACAAAGCCGAGGATGAGGATCGGGTTTTCCCCAATGGCAGGATTTGCCACTATAGGAAAGGAGAAGAAAATTAAAAGGATGTAACAGTCAGCCACAACAAATTGCTTCAAAACTATTAATTCAACTCCTTGAATATTAAGCATCATTCCCAGGCTAGATCTGAGAAAGTTAACAAAATTTAATTAAACTCCTATACAACACACCATAAAACAAAAAGCAAATGCCAAGGGAAAGACTCTTATTAAAAAAGATGTTATTAAAATGAGATGAAATCAGCTTGCCTGGACATTATATTATTTGTAAATGTAGTTATATCCAAAAAAACAAAAACGTTTTTTCATGACACTCACCAATTAATACTAACAAACACATTATTTTGAACTATTATTCAAATAATAGTAAAATGCTTCCAATCTTTTCCAGCATGGCCTTTCAATACAGAATTTGTTCAACAATGTACTGTTCATTTCTCCAACTTAGAAACATATCTGATATGTACATACAATGTTACTTATTTTAAAAAAATGGTTGAGAAACCTACTTTCCCATTAAAGAGACTGACTGCTCAAAGATTATTTTTAGGAGGCACAGGCAGTTTGTCAAATGTAACATTAAGCAGTTCTGACCTAATTCTTGTGAAAAGAACCAAGTACAGACAAAACCCTGAAAATGCAGTTGTTGACTTTCATGAGGAGTGCAGAAACAGCCAGGATAGCTGGGCCTATAAAGATGTACCTTGAAAATTTGCATTATCCAAATCTGCCCTAAAGCAATACTTCTTACCTCTCCCGACTAGATTTTGTTCAACTGACAAGTTAGGAAATACTTTGATTTTAGGCTGGGCTTTTTCTTCTTTGAAGCTCTCCTACCAATACTGCCTTTTATCTCATTCATTGATCAATGCAAAACTGTAAATCACCTTGTCCATTTTTAGTCAATACAAAGATAGAAAAGTGGCATTATGCAATACTGTACAAAGCAATTTTCTTAAGCAGCAGGAGTCATTTATTTGAAGCCAGGGGAGAGACAAATTAACTTGATTGCTGCCTCCGAATACCATTCCTCAAGAGCTTTTCGGCTTATTGGGAGAAGCAGTGAAGGAGGCTCACACAACAGAAGTCAAATATGAAGCAATCGAGTCAAACAAGAGTATGGGATATGCATAACCTAAAGCAAAGTAATAATTAATACTTGGACTCTGTTGGAAGATCATGCTTGTAAGAAAGAGGCCTTCAGGAGGCATGCTGACAGAACAGCTCAAGCATCTCACCAAACTATCTTGATCAAGAGATATATCAGAAATCTTATGTTTATGGGTCAATTTTTAAAAGTCTTTAGAAAAGCCACCTAGGAGAACCAGGCACCAAACCACCTTGTCTTCTAGAGAACCTGAATTATTTTCACACTTGAGAGGCACTGTGAACGATGCCCAAGCTACAGAGTTTTTTGTTCCTTGTGGACCAAAATAAACACATTGTTAAAATACATTTTTGACCTTGTTTTTAGTTCATCAGATGGAGCAAAAAGAACACAGGTGGAACCCTCAGAACTTCACCACCTAAGTTTTAAAATTAAGTTTTAAAGCTATCTAAAACCCTGGGCTCCAGCGCGTGGGTCTCACAATCAGAAAGGAAGTCCTATAGCAAGCTAAACTTCATACCATTCCTGTTTCTGCAGATTTAATCAGCTCAAGAGGTCCCTATTCCCATTCCTGTATGAATCCTATAACAGCCGTTCAGATGATTTCTGGATGGTGCCTTTTCCCTCCCTACCACAACTCCAAACTCTGTACTTGGTCAGCAACTCCTGAAAAATGTGGGAAGGATGTGTATGTGTGTGTGTGTGTGTGTGTGTGTGTATGTGTGTGTCTATGTATATACACAAAGATGCTTGTAAGAAAAAGTCTAACATTTTACAGTACCGGTTCTTTCTAAATCATAGGTGGCTGAAAAGATACAATAAAAAAACCACATTCTTTGGAGACCCACCACAGAACTATGAAAAAGCAAAAATACTTGAAGCATACTGCATATAAATAGTACTATAATCAGCACTTTGGGGAGCCTGGGCCTTACACTCAGAAAGAGAGCCCAGGTGAACGAATCCTTTGCATCCCCTGGAACTGTATTTTATGAAAAACTGTTTCATGAGGACAGGGGGTCCATCACAAAAAGTGTGTGTGGGGGGGGGTCTGCTCCCCAAAGGCTTGGATATAGTACAATTATAGTTACCGAATAACATTGCTGGATCTTCAACCCCCTCCTTTTTTGGGGGGGGGGGTCTCCATGATTACACCGTGTAAAACTTTACAAGGTTCCCTCTTCCACCCAAAAGCTTTCTCAATAAAGACACTGGGGACCTGGGAAGGGGGGAAGGAGGGGCCTTCCTCCCTCATCCCAAATTAGGGGTCTGCCCAGCCCCAATTTAAGACCACTGAGGGGAAGATTACTCCCCAAAAGCCCCCCCGTCCCTCCTTGTCCAAAACAAAGCCTCAAGGGGGGTCCCGTCCTCCCAAGAGAGATGGCACCCCTTTAGATGGCACCCCAACATCCCCACAGCGCGCGCCCCCCACACAACCAGGGCCCCCTTCTCCCTCAGGAAAAGACCCCCGAAAGCGGCCTAACCCCTCGTCCCCCCCACGAAGACGGGGGTCCCCCGTCCTCCCGGGGGCTTCGGGCGCGAAGACCCCCGAGGAGGCGGCCACGGGGCCCGGTCTTCCCTCCCTCCCTCCGAGCAGCCCCGGCCCCTCCAGGCGAGGCGTGCGAGGGCAAAAGGCGGGAAGCGCGCGCGGGGCCTACCGTAAATGGGCCGCAGGCGCCGGTCGTTCGGGTCCTGCACATGGCCTCGCGCACCCGCCGCCGCTCCCGCCGCCATGATGAGAGCGCAGAACCGCAGCGCGCAGCCGCCGCCGCCGCCGCCGCCGGGCCTGCCAGCCCGCTCGCTCGCTCGCTCTCGCTCTCGCTCTCCGCCACCCGGACGCCTGGCGGGGCGGGCCCGGGGCGAGCGGGAGGCGGCGCCAGGCCGGCCCGGCACAACGGCCCCGCGAGGTGGATCTCCGGCCCGGCCCGGCGGCCTCGTCTAGTCGACCTCTCAGGCTTCGTCCGGCCTGGTGGTGCGTGAGGGGCGCCGCGGCCTCAGTTGGGTCTTTTTTTGGGGGGGGGGGAATCCCCTCAGCCGTGGGACTGTGCAGGTGAAGCCTCCAGACTCTGAGGGGGTGTCCCCTCAGGTTTGATTTCTGTAATATCATTAACATAATCATCGTCATTATTATTGTTCGTTATTTATGAAAGCCGTCAACTCCCCAATGTGGATGTGGGGGGGGGTTGCCCCCTCAGCTCTTGAGTGTTCTTCAAATAATAGCAATGTTTACAAAAAGCCACCAATTCCTAATTTGGATCTGGGAGGGATTTTCCCCTCAGCTTTATTATTCAGCTAATAGTAATATTTATAAAAACCACCAACTCTTAAATTTGCACCTATTAGAAGCTGTCATCTCAACCTTTGAGCATTGTTATTACTATTATTCAGCTAATAGCAATATATTCAAAAGCTACCAACTTCTCATTTGATTCTGTACGGGATTATCCCAGATTGTCAGGTTAGGCTAGTCCTGGGCTAAATAGACAGCATATAAAATAGGACTTTCAAATCCTTTCTAGTTCTGTGCCTAGGATTGACAGCAAAAATAAAGCAGGTTTCCCCCCCCCCCATGGTTTTCTGGCAGAAAAAAAGCCCCACCTGCCATCGTGCTTCATATGTTGGGATTGGGGAGAACCAAGTTCAAATTTGGCAGCAGCCCAACCTTTTCTTCAGTTCCTGCAGGAAAGGTGGGGCTTAAATGTGATAAATAAACAAATTCCTGGGCAGGAAATCTGAATAAGTCCAAACTGTGTGAAAAGCTCTGATGAGAAATGGGCCTGCCCTGATAAATACTTCCAAAGTGGTATAACTTTTGACAACTGAATTCAACAGAAGATTCAGAGATGTGGCCTGGCCATTCGGGTTTTTGTAGTGTTTCATGTTGAAGGGTGAGCACAAGTCTCTGTATTAGGAGATCCTGCTTTTTGTGGTGTGTGTCTTGCCCTTCACATTCACAGTTGGATCCCAGGTCACCACAGTGAGAGAAAAATCCTTTATTAGGATAAATCTGCCAAACAGAAAGATTTTTTCTTTGGATTCCTTTTGAGATTTGCACGGGCAGTTTCTTTTTATCCATCTCCTGCAAATTATGTACATGAGCTGATTTTTTTTTCTTTGAGGTTAAAGGACTGTCTTGTCTGGCAGGAAAACAATTATAGAACTACTGAATTAAGCTTGCCACCTGGTTAGGAACTGAGAGGTATCACTAATTTGAGTTTGCTTTTGTGTTTTCAGAACCTGTTTCAGTTGATCTTCCTCAGTGCATCCCTATAAAGTCCAAGCTAGGATTTCTCCTGTGCAACAGATAGGTAAGATGACCTGGCAGCCCAGTAAAATGACCATATGAATTTAATAATTTGGACACTCAGTGTTTATCAGCCTTAAACTCTGGGAGTTAAAGTTCGTGCAATTTAAAATGTCCAAAGTTGAGAAACAGCGCTGAGATCTTGTCTGGCCTCCAAAGGTTTCAGAGGAGAGGGTCAATCGGGGGTGCAGTGAAAACATCAAGCAGTGGACTCCAGAAGATGGTAGAGGACAGGAAGACCTGGAGGAATGTTGTCCATGGGGTCGCGATGGGTCGGACACGACTTCGCAATTAACAACAACAACAACAACAAGCTGGCCTCAGTATGGACTGGAGCTTTTGATACAGCAGGAAAATTTTCACCAAAACATAAAATATAAAAGCCTTGAAATGTGCAAGCAGGTCATCGTTTCCACCCAGACCTTTAAAAAATGCATTCAGACGCTTAAAACATAAAGGATATTATAAGACCTCCCTGGACAGAGGCATTGTTCATGCTGAAAGGCGACTCAGATAGAAGACTAAGCAAGGCTAAAGTGGGTAGGGATATATGCAGATGATCTGCAACACAGCATTGTGGTAGCAAATGGGGAGGAGGAGGAGAATGGGGGCAGGAGAGGGATTTCCTTCTTGGATCCCAATCAGCAAGAGTCTGCTCTATGATTACATCATGATTATGTCTGTTCTGCAGGACTGGAAGGTGCCGAGCTACGGTCACCGTGGGGTTGGGGGCAGAGGCGAGGAGGGGCAGGGAGGCAGCCGGGCCCTCCCAACTCATACTTACCTGGCAGGGGAGACACCATGGTCACGAAGGTGGTTTTCCCAGGGTGAGGCTCATCCATTGCACTCCGGGTGTGCTGACCCCTGCGATTTCCCCAAATGCGGGAAACTCGACTGCATAATTTGTGGTAGTGGGGGACTGCGTTCGCGCTTTCCCCTGATTTGCTGGTTCAAAAGACAGAGAAGTTGTATCTATAATTTCTTGTTTATTGTGTGTTTCACGAGTTGCATGGAAAAGTGATGGAACCTTAAGATGGTGATAGTTCCTTCCCTGCAATGTCTGCCTAGTTTTCCTAAAGATTTGTGAAAGAGCTAGTCTCTGTAATTTCATGCCTCAAGAACCTTTGCATAATTTTTCAGCAGCTAGGGAAATTGGAGAACTGGAGCAAAAAAGGAAGAATAAGAAGGTGTGCATAAATTCTCACCAAATACTTTTTGTCAGACTCAGTCTGCAGTTTAAAAAAATAGAAAACCCAGCAGAAGTTGTTAATAGCAACAGTTCCTTCTTTCTTGGAGAAGAAACCAACTAAGCAAATGATTGTGTTGCACAATATTGTGTTGATTAAAAAATTCACTGAGCAGTGAATAGAAGTAAAATATTTCAAAAGTGACATTTGTTTAACTTGCGATTTGTACAACCAATTTTGTTCCAGAGGGAAGAAGAGGAAGTGAAGTTCTCTGCCGAATCGGAGCACGTCAAGAGATCTCGACGGTCCCTCCTTGCCCTCCAGGAGCACCAATAGAAAGCCAGCTTACATGCCAGAGGAGTGACGATTGCAAAAGGACGCAGATAGACATGCAAATGATGGCCTGTGAAGGAATTGTGGGATCAAAAAACGGGATGCAATCCGAGCTCTCAAAGTATCCCAACACTCTGTGCAAGCAAACTGGGGAGAAGCAGGATCTCGGCTGAGCCTTCCTGAGCTTGCTGGAAATTCTCCAGGTGAGTCACCGTGGGGTTGGGGGCAGAGGCGAGGAGGGGCTGGGAGGCAGTCGGGCCCTCCCAACTCATACTTACCTGGCAGGGGAGACACCATGATCATGAAGGTGGTTTTCCCAGGGTGAGGCTCATCCATTGCACTCCGGGTGTGCTGACCCCTGCGATTTCCCCAAATGCGGGAAACTCGACTGCATAATTTGTGGTAGTGGGGGACTGCGTTCGCGCTTTCCCCTGATTTGCTGGTTCAAAAGACAGAAAAGAGAATTTGGTTTCTTGTGCATGTTGTTTCATTTGTTATTCCAGTACAGAAAACACTTTTGAGTGTTTGTTTACTGATTGTATATGTTATCCTTATCAAGTAGGAATCCCACTTGGAGTTGAAAGTAGATTTAAATTTATGCTTAGTTGGGAAGTAAAATAATAAATGCACGAAGACTTTTAGTATCTTTGTCATCCAAGGGGAAGTAATGATGACCAGGGGAAGAGACTGGGCTACTGATAGATTATAATGCAAGCATTAATCTTAGATCATTTATGTTTCAAGAAGAAAACATTCTAGATATTTCAGATGCAAAGTAGTGTGTCTTGATGGGGTTCTGTGTTCTCTACTTTTCCCTTTCAGGTCTTCAGTCTTTTAAGTTATTCTGTTGCTTTAATCCTTGCATGGCTGTATGAGAATTCTAGAAGAAAAGTGGCATAAATATAATTGCACTAGACCTCTTAATATTTTTAGCTAGAGATAAAGGAATCCAAAAGGGTGTGAAAAGGGGGGGCAGACGTGTCTGTGTTCTATTTCTGAACATTTTGGACACAGACTTTCCACTCACCTGATAAATGGAGCTGCCTGTTGAAGGATCTCCCGGGGCTCTGTTGGACTCTGTGACAAAATAGCGTGTATTGATAAGAGAACGGGTCTTTGAGTGTCCGAAGTGATAGTTCTTTGAAGATCAAAGAGAAATGCTAGCTGGTTTCAGTTCATTTTCCTCTTACGTAAGCAGTCCTGTACTGAAATGCCTCTGTGAGAAAACATAATAATCCAAAAGAACAGAGTTGTTTAGGAGTGATCAGGTTACACTCTAATGTGATCAAAAAGTAACACGTGCCCAGTTGAGAAGGATACTGCTGCTAGTCAGAATGTGGACCAGATTTCCTGCAGGCTACAAAGAAGGAATCCTAGTGACATCCCCTCCCCTTTTCTTTATTGTGCCTTAGCGTGACTTAGTGACGCAAGCACGCATGCAAATATATGTATTGCAAAGCATTGTGGGATGAAAAACGGGGTGCAAATCCAAGCTCTCATAGTACCCCAACACTCTGTGCAAGCAAACGGGAGAGGCAGGATCTCGGCTGAGCCTTCCTGAGCTTGCTGGAAATTCTCCGGGGGAGTCACCGTGGGGTTGGGGGCAGAGGCGAGGAGGGGCAGGGAGGCAGCCGGGCCCTCCCAACTCATACTTACCTGGCAGGGGAGACACCATGATCACGAAGGTGGTTTTCCCAGGGTGAGGCTCATCCATTGCACTCCGGGTGTGCTGACCCCTGCGATTTCCCCAAATGCGGGAAACTCGACTGCATAATTTGTGGTAGTGGGGGACTGCGTTCGCGCTTTCCCCTGATTTGCTGGTTCAAAAGACAGAAGAAGCTACCTGCTTGTTTTCATTGTTTGCTGTCATTTAGCTAACATTGATTCTTTTTTTGAATAGTTGCATCTCTGCTTTGGGTTGTCTTGTTCCTCTCACAGATATAGTTGAAGAGTCAGAACTGCTATATGTTGATGTCAGAACAGGAATTCTGCACACTTATATATAGTCTTATAGATATGGATGAGTGTTGTTTATTTTGGGCACCTACTCAGAACCTCCGTGATTTTAAGCATGAATGAGGCTTATTTTCAGCCCCTGAGCTGTTTGCCTTGCTGTCCTGAAATGGCAGGATTGAGCCTTCTGTGAGAAGCTCTTGTAGTAAGAGAGAAGGCATAGGGAAGAGATCCTGGCTCGGAACAGAGCAGAAGAGGGGCCATGTGCAACCTCGCTCCCTAGCAGTAAGTAAAGTCAGGTTGCCAGTGGGCCGGACGCCCCCCTCTCCCCCCCCCGGCCATTTTTAACCCAAATTCGAGCTTTTCTATGTAGGTGATGTCTAATCTAGAGACTAGTGAGGACCATTAACCAGAGGGAACTGCTTGCCTTCAGAAATCGTGGGTGCTCCATCACTGGAGGTTTTTAAGAAGAGACTGGACAGTCACTTGTCTGAGATGGTACAGAGTTTCCTGCTTGAGCAGGGGGCTGGACTAGAAGACCTCCAAGGTCTCTTCCAGCTCTATTCTATTCTAGGCTATTTTAAAAGCCTGCTGCTGCCCAAGTAACCCCCATCTAGGAAGTAAATGGGTAGCGCGGACTCTAATTTTCTCTGCTTACGCATTCTTGCCCTTTGCATCACGTTGCTTACCCCGAAAGGGAATTGTGCGATAGATGATGCGTATCTGTGTAGCCACGTAACCGATTTATGAATGGGCGACCTTGACTCAGGACGCTCTCCCTTCCTGGCGATCTGCTCGAAAGACTGGAACAGAACCTCCTTCCCCGGGCGGGCAACCCGGGCTAGCCGTCTCGTGGACCCTCTGCAGCCCGTTCGTAGGAGGGAGGTAGACGGAGGTCGGGAATTCGTGGACTGGGCATCCGGTCGGTAGTGTTGGGGCCAAGGCGGCGGTGGTGGAGACGCGGGGACTATGGTGCGGCAGAGGACGGGGTCTGCGGGGGGAGAGAGAGAGAAAGGAAGAATCGGCCGGGGATGATGGGAGCCGGATCTGAGCAGGGCGGCCTTGGGCTGACGGGGGGGATCCGGGGAGTTGACATCCATCCACCTTTCGAGGCCGGGGGGGGGCGAACGGGGCTCCGGGCTGCGCCCTGGAACCGGCTGGCCGGCAGGGGGCGTCGCCGCCGGGAGCCCCTTGCGTTGTCCAGCGCCCGGGCGGGGGGGAGCGGGGGCGTGGCCTGCTCGCCTGACGTCCCGCGTGACGCGCAGAGGCCGACGGCCCAGGCGAAGGGCGGGGAAGGAGGCGGGCGCTTCTTTGCCCAGAGGCTGGCGGGCCAATGGGGTGAGGCGCTCGTTAGAGTCGCCGGCCAGTCGGATGTGGGCGGCCTTCAACGGCGACCAATCGCGACGCGGAGGGCGGGCTCGGCGGGGCCGAGGCGGTGCCGGGTCCGGTTGCGGCTGGCAGAGTAGAGGGAGGCGCGGGCGGCGGAGAAGGGATCTCCGGAGCCGGGGGCGGCTTTCCCAGCCCTTTGCATTCGGGAGCAGGGGGGAGTGGAGACCCTCCGCCGGTTGAGGGGGGCGAAGGGCTTCCCTCTTCACAACAGCCCTGCGGGGCAGGCCAGCTGCGGCAGCCCCCCCCCCGGCTCCCTTCCTCGATCCGTCCTGGAGGCCGGCCAGGGACACGGGAGGGGGTTGCCGTCCTCCCCCCGCAGAGGAGCGCTGCGGCTCCCGGAAGTGGCCCCGGCGGCGCCTCCAGCGGAGGGAGGCGTGTTGGGGCGAGCCCGGCTTTCCAACAACCGGCGATCCTGGCGGAAAGACGGGCAGACAAACGGCGCCAAAGCCTCGTTCTCGCTCTCCAGGTCCGTTGAGCGGAGGGAGGCCGAAGCCGGCAAGATCTCCGCGAAGGGATCTCGGGAGGGGCGCTTTGGGTAAGGAGACCCGGGATTTCCAGGCGGAGAAGCGGCTCCTCTTTGCGCCGATCCTGAAGGTGCGGCGGGGGAGGGGCAGAACGGTCCCTTGGCCGAGGGGCGGGGGGGGGCAGCGAGGACCGGCCGCGTTCGGGCCAAGAGCGCCCGGCGGCGTTCCAGAACCGGCCGGACAACGGGCTGAAGTCCGTAGCGGGGGGGGGCGGGAAAGAGCGGCGGTCTTGCGCTGGGCGGCGCCCCTGGGCTGCCCCGTGTCTGGGCCTGGGCCCCGGGAGCCGGAAGGGAGGGAGCCCGCTGGCGACGGCGGGGAAGTTGTGGGTGAAGGAGAACCTCCGAGCAGGGGCAGAATGAGTAAGCCCGCTACGAAACGTCAAGAAAAAACATCATTTTTTTAAAGGTTCCCGGAACAGCAGGGAGAGATGGCTGCTATGGCAGGAAAAGAAAGCGAAACTCAACTGTGCAACAATTGGTACGGGCCGGGAGTTGAACGCTTTCGTTCCCGGTCAATTTTGTGTGTGTATGTGCATTTTTGGATAGCGGAAGGGAGTTGGGTTAAAAAGAGGGCAACAGGGTTTTGCAAGAGTTTCTGCTTGTCCCAGTACCCTTTAAAAAACGAACACGCGCCCTGTCCTTGTGCCCCTTACAGCCAAAAAGACATCCCTCTGGCAAACTACACCATCCATGAGATTCACTGTAGCCGGAATATCGGGATCTGCCCCATCTGCAAAGAGTCCTTCCCGAAGGCGGAAATGAGGACTCATCGGGAGCAAGAGCACGCACAGGTGACAAAGGCCGGCTGCCTCCCCCTCTTCCGCTGGGCCCTGGCGCCTTCTCTAGCTGAGACAGACCTCATTCTGCAGGCTTGAGTCTGATCTGTATTTCTTTCAAATCCTAGATTATCTGCAAATGCAGCATGAGAATGGACAGAGGTCTCTTACAGGATCATGTAGTGAGTAAGCTAATCATTGCCCGATTTTGCCCAGTGAAATATTTTAAGGGGCAAAAAAAAAAATCACTGTAAAGTGCTGGAATATATTCCTGAAACGGTGCATAAAATTTTGCACTCACCACGTACGTTCGGGTGACGAGCCATTTCTGCCTTCTTCTCACAGGCTTTGGAGTGTCCCTTGCGGCCTGTTGCATGTCAGCACTGTGACATTGAGCTCGCTTTCTGCAAGCTCCAGGACCACGAAGATTATTGCGGTGCCCGGACCGAGCGATGCGGCAGATGCAACCGCAACATAATGCTGCGAGAACTGAAAACGCATCCCGTCGACTGTTGGAAGAAGGCCGGGGGAGAGCCAGGCGTCCAGGTGCAGCCTTGCTTCAACTCCGAGGCCCCTTTGCGAAACATTCAGACCATCAGCGACTACCTCCTGAGGCCAGATTCCACTGGAGAGTCGCCACTGAGGGGCAACAGGTTCCTGGAGAGCCAGCGGCACAGTTGGGTCTCGGGCAATCAGCTGCCCAGGGAATCCAGTTGGAGAAATCGAGGCCCATCCCGGCCAGATCAGAATCGAGGTAAAGGCCTTGAAAGAAAACTGACCTTTTTCTCCTCAAGGGCTCAGAAAAATGCCACTCTTCTAAATACACCTCTTGAACTAAGTGTGGGGATTCTCTCTCTCCAGAGGCTTTGGAAGCAACTCTGCATATTTGTGTTTGTGTTGCTGCACAGCAGTACTGGGGTGAAGTGTTGCAGGTTTGCTGTTCATGCTCTTCTTCGGTGTTTGTTCCCTGAAGCTCCTTTGGAGAAGAGAGCCACCCCGCTGCCTGCGGATGGAGAGTCGGACTACAACTTCGATTACCTGCTGGCGCTCAGCTTGCAGCACGAGAATAGCTTGGTTCAGCCCAATGTGGCAGAGGCCCACAGAGAACTCTGGAAGAACATCTGTCCCCCCCAGACCGGCCCAGCTGATCACAGTAGCCAAGCAAAGAACTCCAGTGGCCTCTCTCAGGATTCGCTGGTGGCAGCTGACATTCTGGACAGGCCCAAAAGTACGTTGCTGTTATCGAGGGACAGGAATGGACGTGCTATAGGGAGAGCGCCAGGGACCCTGGCCCACTCTTAAGTTGCTCTGGGGTGGTGGTGGGTTGTTTTTTTGACTGAAGAGCAGCGTAAACCTAAGCAAGTAACACCGGGTGGTTCCCTATATTTGGCAAAGGAGTCGTCTATGTGAGCACCTGGGGAATGTGGCCGAGGAGAATTTTGAAGGGGGAGATGGAGGCTCGATGGTTGTAACCTAGTGAGTTGTGCAACTGTCTCTCTCTTATCCTTCAGCGGAGACCCGGCTGCCTTGCGAATTCTGTGAGGAGCTGTACCCTGAGGAAGACCTGATCCTTCACCAGGTGGGCTGCCTCATTTTCTGGGGCCGAGAGGGGGGGAAGCTGACGAGGAAGAGGGGCTATGGGAACATCACCCTCTGTTCAGCTCTGCCCTCTGGGGCAGTTTGAAGAGAACGCTTTGCTTCTTTCTCTGCCCCGCTCATCAGACGGGCTGCAACCCAGCAAGTGCCTTGGCCTCCTTCAGCAAGAGGAGCAACCTGGTCCCGCCGACAGACTGTCTCAGCAGCCTGTGGGGAGAGCTGCCCGGCAGTCGTTCGAGGGGCAGCGGAGAGAGCTTCCCTTTCCAGCCTGGCATCCAGGACAGCCTTCTGCTCCCTTGCGAGTTCTGTGGAGTCCAGCTGGAGGAAGAGATCCTGTTCCACCACCAGGTACAGACAGCCACGAAGCCCCTTGGCTCAGGGATTGGGGGAGGGGAGTGACTGGCTTCCCTAAAGGGGCAGTGACAGGCAGCCCTTCCCCTCAACCCAGGACCAGTGTGATTTGCGCCCAGCAACCGCCCCCTCAAGCGGAAGAACGCCTGCGCAGTCGGAGGCTCCAGTTGTGGAAAGCTCTGTGGGAACCGAGTCTCCAGATCTCCCCAGAAGGCGCATCCGGCACCAAGGTATCCCCCGGCTGAGTCTTGCTGGACCCCAAACTGGGGGCTCTGCAGAGCAGATGCGACTCTTCTGGGCTTCCGCAGAGGGTGGTGGTCTTGAGCAAAGGGGTGTCTCCCTCCTCCTCCTCCAAACTGGGGAAGTGGGCAGGGAGGGCCATTTGGTGTCCTCTGTGCGCTTCTCTTTCCCTCCTCGTCCCTGAGGCGCCTTCCCTCTCTCCCTCCTGCGCCAGGTGAGCTCTCGTCTCAGTACCTGGAGCAGCTCAAGCAGAAGAAGCCTTGTCCGCCTGCTCACGGGAGTCACTCCCAGGTGCCTGCCAGGCGCACCCAGCTGGCCGCTCCCAACAACCGGAGGGAGGATCCGGTGGCTCTTTCCAAGGGAAGGAAGCCCAGGAATCTGGGAGATGGCGAAGGGAGGACCCCCCCAGGCCAAGGGCCGAGTGACCCAGTGGCCACCCCTCTGCCTGCCAGATACTCCTCCCCGGACTTCCTTCCCAGCAGCTACGTTCCGAGCTTCTCGACGGCGGTTCCGACTCGCCCAAGGTAGCATTTCCAGAGTCACAAACCAGCTTTCCAAGTTTCAGTTTACGGTTGAATTAGGATCGTCTTGATGGTGATGATGGGTGCAAATCTGGGCTGCTCCTTGTTGAGGGGGTGGGAGGGAACCTCTCCTTTTTTGCCTTCTGGTCTAACTGGAACAGGCAGCTGTTTTGGGGGGGGGGGATTTTAAAACAATCTTAAAGAAAAGTTTTGTTCTTCAACTATCCCTCTGGGTTTTTTCCTCTCTCTCTCTCTCAGTATAAGACAGGAAGGAGGACAAAGTCCTGCAGGTCCGCCCCACTTCAATAACTCCAAGGTAAGGGCTGCACTTGGCCGATGGCCTCTTGGGCAAGGTTTTAAAAGCCAAATTCTGCAATAAAAGGTGAGCCTTTTGCAAAATCTGAATCAACCTTCCTCTCAATGAAACATCCCGTATCCAGAAAAGTCTGCGCTTAGGTAATACGCCCTCTGTCTCAACCACGGCCCCGTTTACACTTGATGTCAACCCTTCTTGCTGTCTGTGATTTTCCTCAGCTGCGTACTTGGAGGTGCCTTTCTCTGTCGGTCAACTTAAACTCTTCCTCTCTGAATCACGAGGTGAAGAAATCCAGGGTCTTGTCTCCAGGAATCCTCCTCAGCCCTCCGAGGGCTTTGAAGGGCTCCTGTCCTGCCTCCAGGTCTCGCAGGGGCAGGAGACGAGAGAGTCGCTTTCTTTCCCCGAAACGTCCGATTCCGGCCCGGCCTCTCCCCTTCCTGAGCAGAGCCTCTGGCTTTCCTCCCTGCAGGCAAGACCGCGGCAAGTGAAGTCGGCCGATCCCGACAGCGAATGAGGGGGAAGCGTTCGGGGCCACCTTCTCTTGCCTCCCTTCTGGCACAAGGACTCGGTTTCGTGACGCGATTCCCACAGGAGCTGCGGGGCTGGCAGTCCACCCTTCAGCTCACAGACGTGGCTGCAGCAGGAGGACCCCATGGTTGCTTTGTCAGTTGTGCAATGTTTTGATGCTGGTCGAGGGGGGGGGCCTCGGCCCCACTGCTTTCTGCTTGAGACCCGAATCACTTCAGGGCCCTCGGGGGGGGGGCTCAGACCCTTCCTCTTTTTCAAGTGTAGAGAAACCCCCACCCACCCCCCCTTCCCAAATGCCTAAGGAATAAAAAGGCTAGCAATCGCCGAGTTTGGTACCTTTGCTGCTAGGAGTTTTTCCTCTCTGCCCTCAGCTGCCTCTTTCTTCTCCCTCCCAGTCCAGTTTTTCAGTCAACGTGAAAAGAGGGAAATCTCCCCCTCCGGGGGGGGGGGCTCCTCTTGCGGTTCAGACGCACGGCCTTAAAAGCTGAAACTGGCGCTCTGAGTGCGAGGAGCCGGAGGGGAGGGGTGTTTGTGTGTGTGTGGAGACTTTTGAATTTCTTATAATAAAGTTTGTATCTATTAGTCAAACCTCTATTTATCTCCAGGCCATTCATTAACTAGGCTCATGCAACATGCCACCAAAATAATCGGTTTGGTGTGACCCCAGCCCAAAGCAGAAGCAGATGGGGGCCGCTGCAGGCCCTCCAGTTAATTGTCCTGTCTCCCCTTCCAGTGAGCCCCCCCCCCTTATTTCATTCCCTCCTCTGCCCACTCCCCACTGGCTCCCAAGGCCAGGCCAAGAACAAAGCTGTTTCATGGACACTTCCACCAAATGTAAGCATTTATTAAATACAAGAAAAAGCCAAAGAATTCTTAAAACAAGTGGAGCCAACCTTGCAGGGTCCTTTCCAAGGGCAGAGGGCTGTTGGGTATGTTTACAGAGACAAGCTGCGGTGGTGGTTTTTTTTTTTTTTTTTAAATATTGAGAAGAGGCAACAGTTCTGGGGGGGGACCGTTGTGGTAGGATCGAGGGGTGAAAAGTGGAGAATAAATTAACAAAACAACGGCAAAGAAGCCTTGTCAGCTGGGCAGCCGGTCTTCCTTGGGCAGAAGGAAACACGGAGTCCTCCTTGACCGAGAAAGGGGCAGCCCTTGGCTCACTTTTCTCTTTTTTACAAAATATTTACACGTTTGCTTAAGTAAATATAAATTAAAAAAGAAAACGTACAGTGCAATAAACCCATCCCAGAGTGAGCTGGAGCAGGCAGCCTGTCTGGGGGTCCTCATCCGAAGGAGCTCGGCCTCTTCCGCAGGGCTTCTGGCCCAAGAGGCTTCCTCCCTGCCCCAAAAGCACCTCCATGGGTTCATCGTGGATAATAAATAGGAAAATGGATACCGAACGTGAGCTTAAACTGAAATGCCTCCGTGTTCTCCGCTGTCTTCAGGAACAGCTTTTTACATTCAGAACAACTATTCAAGTTAAAAGGAAGAAGACTCACAGTCCCAGATCCCGAAGGAAGGGGCAGCCGGGCTTTAGCCCTCAAGCAGCAGCAGCAGCCGCAGAGCGAACCAAAAGTGATCTGACGGGCTCTGGACCTTCCGGCCTGTTTCTTTCTCACACTTTGCTCACTCCTCCTTAACAACTTCCTCCAGCTTGCCCCGACCTGTGCTTGCAAAGGAATCCACCGTGCAGAGGGAAGGTGTCGGATCTGGACACACAACTTCCTGCGCGCCCCCCCCCCGAAGCTCCATTTACAGTGAGTGGGGGGTAAACACCATAAGAAGACCATTTGTTTTCTTAAATGCAACCATAAATAATTGGAATAAATATACATCAAGTCACTTTACAGCACACACATTTGGGGCCAAAATGCGGTTACTCTGGATACCTTGGTGGTCTCTGGGAGGGAGAGGGAGCATCCACCAATGTGGCAGCTGAAAGGTATCTGTGAGGTATTTGAACAAGAAGCCCCCTCGGGAGAAAAGCCCCCCGCCCAATCTCTGGAAAACAGGACAGTTGATCTTTTGTGGGTGGAACAAAGTTAAAAGTCCCTGTGTTTTTCTCCTGAGCGCTAATAAATGCACCATATCGCCTCTCCTTAGCCTGAAAACGGGAGGGGGGGCACCTCTGCCGGAAGGTGGGCCAGAGGGATGACTGCGCAAGGGAGGCGATGGAGCCCTCCCCCCTTGGCCCCTTGCCCTAAAAACAGTCACGCATCTTCCCAATCATCCCCAACCTCCATCCGCACGTCACTCAGGCCAAATAATTAACAGTATTCACAGAAATATACAATAAATACAGCTCCTCCGTGCCTACGGACGAGCAAAACCATTCCGTTTAGAGGACAGCTGGCGACATCCCGGCTTCTGCGGGGAAGGAGGCGAGCTGGGAGTGCGGCCGTTGACATCTCTCAGACGGCACCCAGCCAAGCGGGGCCCTCTGAGGCCTTTGGGGTCTTGAGTTGGAAAGTGAGGGACCCCAAATGGCTTGATCTGACACTATTTTTGTTAGATGTTTGATGCTACTCAAAAGACGCCCCCGTGCGTGCGTGGTGTGTCATTCAAAGCCGGGGCGCATCTGCCGGGCACACCGGTGCTACCGTTGTGTCAGTCTGCAGAGTTCCCTTGGAAACCCTTCCATTGAAATAAAAATCAGAAAGCCAGGCGGATCCGTTCGGTCTTTGCTAAGGAGGAGCCCGGGATCTGCCTCTCTAAAGGCAACGTGCGAACGGGGATCTCGGGAGGACCATTTCTGAGTGCAGGGTGGAACCTTTGAGGCCAGCTGGGTCCGAGCCGATAAAGTGGGTGATCAGCAGCGAGACAGGCAATCCCCCCACCCAACTTTAGACTCTCACAATTTAGGCTTTGAGCAATCGGGAAGTGATCGTTGTTTATCACCCTAACAGTGGAATGTGTGAAGTTACCCCCTCCTGAGCCTGGCAGAAAGTGGGAAATGCCAGTTCTTCTCCAGTGAGTTACGTTGTGCCCCAATCACCGAAAAGAAGTGTGGCAGCTTTACTGCCGCACTCAGAAATGGTGGCAGAGGATCTCCCCCTCGCACAGCCGATCCCCGGAAATCCCCTCGGCCGTGAGCTCCTTCCCGATGAGGATGAGACGGGGGGGGGGGATCCGCCAGGATTGCAAACATCGCTCCCCGGACTAACTTTTCTGCAAGGCAGCAGCAGCAGCAGCAAATTCCATCCATCCCAGGAGTCTGCAAAGAGGAAGCGGGAGTCTTCCATGAAGGTTGTCGCAAGAACGAAGGGGAGGACCAAGTTCACCTCCTGCTCTTGCCTGGTCGTGGCTGGACTTCTCAGACGCGTCCTCTGAAGGGCCCACCCTTGAAGGGGAGCAGATCAACCGCTGAGAGGGTCCTCCCGATAGTGGATGGCGTACCGGAGTTTTTCCAGCATGATCTCCAATGAAGAATACTGGGGGAGCTTGATCATGAACATGCAGGTCTCCACACGGATATACCGTGAATCTGGGGAGCCTGGGAAAGAAGGAAGGAAGGAAGGAAGGAAGGAAGGAAGGAAGGAAGGAAGGAAGGAAGGAAGGAAGGAAGGAAGGAAGGAAGGAAGGAAGGAAGGAGAGGGAGGAGGGAGGGAGGGAGAGTCAGCCTGCTAGAAGGAAGCTTTGCTTTTCCGAAGGATCGTTAGACACAACTCTGACTCTTATTCCCCCCCCCCCTCTGCTATCGGATTACAGATAAGTGTGCTACTCAAGGATGAAACAGCCGGCCAAGTTGTGTTTCAAATTACAATGCCAAGGAAGAACAAAGTGAACCAAAGTCACGCTGGCCTTCTGCACCAAGCAGGAGTTAACTCCCCCTTCCTTAACTGTTAGGAAGGCCAAACCAACACTGGGCCCATTAATCCCCCTGAAGTAACCCCACTGTTTGGCTCAGCCATGTTTCGTTTCTGCCGAAAGACCCTCTTCCCCTCATTTCTGTGCCAGGAAACAACCGTACCTGCCGTGCCATCCGGGGGTGCAATTTTCATGGGGTAGGGCGGCACATGGGCTGTGTCTGGACCTCCATCCTTGCAGGGACAGGTGAAGGGGATGCGCTCCTGGTTGCAGGCAAACTTGATGAATTTGCAGAGCTCCTCCTGGGTAAACATCTCCAAGGCTCCCCAGAAGAATTCAATATGCTGGTCGGTCTCCATCAGCCCCACTTGGTACATGGTGTGTGCCTGTGGATGGCCAAGGGGGAAAGACAAGGAGACATGTGTGTGCCTGTGGATGGCAAGGAAGGGAAGCTAGTTCATGTGTAAGACTTAAGATACCCTCAACAGACTCTGGATCACCTGGGGCTCCCGAATCTGTTTTTTCTTTTTATTCCACTTGGGCGGACTTGAGCATTCTCTACTAGGGTCTTCATCTAAGCTAGTTCTAGTTCTGGTCTCGACTGCCCTGCTACTAACTTGCAGCGACAAAAGACGAACGGGGAAAAAGGGGGACGGGCAGCCGCCGTCTTCTGAAGGGCGTGAAAGCAGGGTCTTCCCAAAGGCTCCCCGGTTTTCGCAGGCCTCCTGCCTTCCCTCAGGTTGGAAGCCCTCAAATTACCTTGAGGAACTCCAGGTTGATGTAGGGGAGCCCACAAGTTCTCAGTTCCATCTCCAGGGGAGTCAGCAAGGTCAAAACCTGCAAGGGGATAATCGAGGCCAAGCCAGCTCTCACAGCCATCACACACTCTGGAGTCTGCAACTCGTGTAACCTCAGATTCCGGATGGCCGTGGCGTAGACATCCTTGTTCTCCCACCTAAAAAGAAAAATGCGTTCAGGGACCCGTGAAGAGACTCGTTGTCTCAGGGCAGGAAGCCCTGCTTGGCTCGTCTCCCACGGGACACTCCTGCTTCTCCCTCCCCCTCTGCCGCCTTCCAGCGGAGGGAGCGCGTCCTACCCGTCGTAAGCCATAAAGGGAGGCTAAGAGAGCCGAGACCCACGTGTCAGGCCTCCTTCGGACCCGCTTCAGGCACCTTTGGCTCACAGGCTGCCCTCCGCCACGGAGCTTCTGCTACTCACACCACAGGGATGTGCCTGCCCCGGGCACACAGCTCCACCTCCTCTCCGGTCATGGCCACGTAGGTGAACTTGCAGCTGGGCTTGTTGGGACTGTCCGGGCTCTCCATTGCGACGTGCTGGGAGGCGATCTCAGCACACACAGCTTCCAGCTCGGTTTCGTCGTTCAGCTAAGACGGCAGAGACAAAACATTTCTTCACTAGGACAAGGACGCTGCGAGCAAGTGTGAATTCGGCCTACGTGAAAGTGTGTTCATGAATCAAAGCGCTCCAGGGCAAAGCCAACTGAAACCACGAAGTGGGCTTTTTAATTTATTTCTCCCTTCTGCTCCTGAAGACTGAGAGGCCTGGCAATTGATGACTAAGCTGATGAATGGGCTAAATGGGCAATTAACCCAAAAACAATCCTACATGAATTTAAACTTTATTTTGAAGGTTTTACAACACCCCATCAAGGCTGGGCAAGAGGATCCGCCACCGCAAAAGACTTACATTTTCAAATTTTTTGACGTAATTGTAGGTTAGCACGTCAGCCTCCTGGAGGTCCACATCTGGCTCCAGCGGTTCTCC